CTGCCGCGGCACAGACGGGCACGCCATGAATTGCCGACCTCCTTCCCCAGTGCTCGACGCCGAAGAGGACAAACTGTACGCCGTGCTGCTGAGATAAATATAGCTTTCATTGAGATAGCTGCCGCCGTTGAGGCCTGTTCACTTCGAATTACCTAAAAAAGCTGCGTGAGGCCAAGCACCAATTACTCGGCGGTTCGGATAATGAAAACAACCGACAGCCGAAGGAGACCTGATGTGTTTTAGCAGAGGACTTTAGAGCCCTAATGGCTCAATGGTTGGACTTGATGATCTTGGAGGTCCCTTCCAACCTAAAGGATTCTATGATTCTATGACCTGTTAAAATTCTCCCTTGGCAGTGCTTCCGAGGGGCCCCCTCCACAGAGGCGGGAATGGCCCGCTAGAGCCCACAGAGGCGGGAATGCCCAGCTAGAGGCTGGAGAGCATTTCGTACACACTGGAACCCAGACGGAGTGGAAAGATGCAGCTTTCCCGGTGCTGAGTTAGCAATGCAGTACACTACAAGCAACAGCTACAAACACCTACAAAACACCTGTTTTGAAGTACGTCTCAGCTTTAGAATAATAACACAAAATGACAAAGCATTTTAAAAGATGTCTAAGAAAAAAAAGCTTAGCAATGTAACATTTAGTTTGGCATTTTTCTGCTTGTATTTCAAACGCTTCCTTTCCACATTCCTCTTTACAATTACCTTACCCACTTTTTTCACCACAAACTATCAGCCGATAAAAGTTTGCAGGCACAGGTTTTCAAATGCTTCTCAACTATTTGATATTTAAGATTTTCTTATGGCCATAATGACTTTGGCTTGTTCACACACACACCCACCCTCCCCCCCCAGTAGCTCCCTTCTCAAGAAACCTACAAGACACTGGTGCATTTCTTTAATGCTTTAGTTATTGAAATTGAACAAGTAATTTAGTTGCAAGGAAAAATAGTCAAATATAAAATTGGTAAAGTACATTCTCCTCACAGAGGACTAACCACATGCCACAGACCTGTGTGCAAAAGAGCGCCTATGAACAATGTTTAGAGCATAGAAGCATACCCCAGGGCAAAGGATTAACACGAGAAGTCTCAACAAAGAGATAATAAAATAAACACAAAATTAAGCTCTGGAAAACAGAAGCACTAACTACAGTTGTCTTGTCAGTCATAATTTTACATTACTACCCCAAAGATATCACAAAAGCTCTAATAGTCTTCTCCAATTATTATGACTAATCCCTAGCAGGTAGAAATCCATACAGCTCTGCTGAAGTCACTGGAATCTGGGGACTTCCTAAGAACCAACGCACCCCTAAGTGCCACTCCAAAAAAGGTACTGCATGGACTTGTCACAAAAGCGTGGTAGGATTATTTAAATAAAGATGCACAAATACTGAATAATAACAAGAATACAAAAAGTATGAATGTTACAGAATGTTAGTTCAACAGTACTGGTATTTCTAAACGTATGTACTTTTTAAAAAGTCTACTATGCGGTACATAGTTGAAAAATTACAGCAGAACAATAGATTTATAAAGAGATTTGTACCAGTTTTTAAGTAGAAAACACGACTTATATCTTCCAGTTTGTATTAGTCTTAGCAAAATTCATACAGCCTTTGGTTTCAAACCACTACAATGCAATTAACATTACAGTGCTTACTCAGTACTCATTAGGAGAGGATGCTGTACAATTGAGGGAGAAAACGTGAAAAAGAGGAGTACCAAAGTACTGTATTATAGAAAGTAAAGGCTGAAGCAAAAATACTCTTGGGTATATTCTGTACATCATGTAAACACACACTCAGAATAGTAATCAGGCTAACATGTCTTCCAAGCCTCCCAAACATTTACAATCTAGCACACACATACATATATAGCCTATACAACATCACCTTTAGGAAACGTAGCCCGTTATGTCCTAATTCTGTGCTTAACTCCTTTGCAATTCAGACAATACATTCATATATTAGCAGTACATCTCATTTAGTATCTGGAGTTTGCTGGTTGCGATAGACAAGGACAGATACTTATACAAATAATACTGAGCCTTGCTTTTACCTCAGATGCTGTGACTATAAAAGCAATGCTCAACTTTTCAAGAACCATTTTCTTGTAACCCAAGCTAAGAATTTTCAGATTTATGTATAGTGAATCAAGCTGAAATACTGTTCTTGGCAGAACAGTTTTCCCAATTTTTATTCATTGATTTGGTACAGCAAGTTGTTCCCTTCTATTTTAAAACGCAGATATAAAAATTATCCATAAGAACATGCACAAAAAATTAGTACTTGTATATGTAATAGTCACTCTATTTTTTAGAGTTTTGGATAATAACAGTTTGAAAAGAGATGAAATTTTTAAAATATTATAAGAAAAAAAACTTACTTGCTCACCTACAAAAAAAAAAAGTAGTAAAATGAGGAAACTTCTTTATTTATTGAAGTAGCTTTTAGTAGCATTGTGATATACGCAAATCCACTGTAGCAAAATATTAGAGTACTAGCATGAATTAGATACTGGTGCAAGAAATTAAGCTTAAGATGTCTATGTTTGTAAGAAAGAGCTCAGTGCCTCATACTAAAGATTCCTTCTAGCGTTAAACCATCCTCACATCTGAGTAAATCATGACTGACTATCTTTCTTCAAAGCTTCTAGTCTTTGTAGTAATGCATTTCCAAACACTTCTCGATATGCAGGGCTGAGAGAGTCCAATAAGGAGTAGACAGTTTCATGGTATGGAGTCTGCAATCTGTCATCAGTCTGGTCAAAATCATAAGCTACTACCTGCAACAAAGAAATCACTGGTTAAATGTCTATGGTTAGGATCACCTTGCAATGGGAAACTGATATCACAACATTTAATTTTGTCAGCCAGGATAGTACAGTAATGTGAAAACAAGATACTGGATTTAAATCACAATCTGTGCTTTCTACTATGGGGCTTAGTGGTAATACAGTATTTAGACAGTTTCAAAAACCTTTTATCCAAAACTCAGAATATGAGTAAACTCTGCCACCACAATCTTGGAAAAGAAGTCTAACATCTACGTGTTTGCATAAAAAGATAAAAAATGGAGTTGCATACATGATGTGTTACTGACTTATCTGGCTACCCGAGAAACCCAAAGACTGGCATGCCTATAACAAATTGCTGCTTCAATCTTCTTCGTGTCTCAAATAAATGCCTGGCTTTTAATCAACTTCCTCTCTTGCTTTGTTGGAAGTGAGTAGTTAAAGTTCCACTTTATAAGAGAAAACATATAAACCAGGCTTTCATAAAAGTACAAGAGGAGTATGTATGCTGTTTTGGTGTCATTGAAGTATTTTTCTAAGCACCTTTCAGGCATGATCATTGTTCAAAACCAAGAGGCTTAAGGAATTATAAACAAATCAGTTTACCCTGAGTCCTGCTTCAGTGAGCTCCAGGCAGTATCTGTTCCTTTCCCTGGTTTCCACATTGATGTATGCCACATCCTCTGCACAGGGAAGGGTCTTTGAGACAAACATGTTGCTGACAGCAAACAGAACATCATTCACAACAGCTTCGGCTTCTAGTCTCATATCTTTCACATCTGTTCCTTCAAAGTCTCCGTAATCAGAATCCTCTTCAAAACCTGTATTATTGGGTAACTCCATAGGATTGCAATCCGTTTCCATTCTGCAAATGGAAACACCTATTTTAGATTTATAGTACCGTTACATTAAATATATATTAACATCATAAAACAACAGTTGTATCTGAAGCAGACATATGTAACATAGTCCAAAAAAAGGAAAATATGAGACCCAGTGACTTCCACAACTCATGAAATGACAGTCCTGAGAATCCAAAACTAAGATGCCGAAAACTGATGGAGACTACATTAGCATATAGACACAGCATCAGTGAAGTTGCTCCTTCTTACACAAGTAACTTGCACTCTGTTGTGTAAGACCCCGTGATTGTTCAGCAGTAATTAATTCTGCACTTTGTTGATCCAGAACCCAGTAGACGCAGACAAGTCATGCCCAGAAAAAATGAAATCAATAGCAGTAAAAAATTAAACCCTGATTTTGGTGCATTTAAGAAGGATTTAGATAAGTCTGGGAACGCAATGGATTATCAGAGACCATAAAGCCAAACTGCAGAACATGCCCTCTGCAAGATTCATGCCCTCTTGACAAATCCTACCTTGGACCTACAAACTGCAGGGAAACTGAAGGCCCCAAGGGAGCTGGCTGCCGAGGTGCGCCGCCGCTCGCAGGTGTCACCCCATTGACGGGCGGCAGCGCGACCGCGGATCCCTCCCGCGGCCCCGCC